AGCACAGTCTTGGTGGTGTCAAGGCCTGTCTGGACGGCCCCTTTGGCCACATTTGCTGCCCCAGTGACCCCAGCAGACACTGTGTCCTTGGTGCCAGTGAGGACCAACTTGGTGGTGTCTAGGCCTCCCTGGACAGCCCCTTTCGCCATATTTGCTGCCCCAGTCACCCCACTGCAGACAGTGTCCTTGGTGCCAGTCAGCACAGTCTTGGTGGTGTCAAGGCCAGTCTGGATGGTCCCTTTGACCACATTTGTTGCCCCGGTCACCCCACTGGACACTGTGTCTTTGGTGCCGGTCAGCACAGTCTTGGTGGTGTCAAGGCCAGTTTGGACTGCCCCTTTGGCCACGTTTGCTGCTCCAGTCACTCCACTGCAGACGGCATCCTTGGTGCCAGTCAGCATGGTCTTGGTGGTGTCCACACCTGTCTGGACGGCCCCTTTGGCCACGTTCACGGCCCCAGTGATCCCAGTTGCCATGGTGTCTTTGGTGCTCATGACCACAGACTTCGAGGTATCCAACCCCCCTTGGACGACTCCTTTGGCCACACCCAGTGCCCCAGTGACTCCACTGGTCACCACCTCCTTGGCGCTGGAGAGCTCAGACTGGCCCATGCCCATTCCTCCTTGGACCACGCCTTTGGCTGCATCCACCACGTTGGTCACCCCAGAGGAGTAGGCATCCTTGCTCCTGGTCATCTTGGAGCACACTGGGTCCTTTGCCTCGGACATCATCTGGTAAGAAAGAACATCAGTGGTCAAGAGAACTGGGAGACGTCACCCACCCCAGCCTCCACCATCCCGGCATCTGTCTCACTTCCTCGGAAAATGAGGGCCTTTCTCCTCAGCCCCCAGCACCGACGGACACCCATCTTTTATCAAACTATGGGTGGTGTCCTGGGGCTCCAGGACTTAGCCTTCATAGGCTTGGCCTCACATAGCACAAGTGACTCCTTTCTAACTCCCTTCAGACCCCCCAAACTAGAGAGCCCCCCATTTTGTGACTGCTGCTGTCACTTTACAGCAACCAAAAGCAAACCCACTGCTGCTGAGTTGATTCTGACTCATGACGACCACATGTGTTACAGAGCAGAACTGCACTCCATAGGGTTTTCTTGGCTGTGATACTTAATGGGAGCAGATCTCCAGGCCTTTCTTCTGTGGTGCCACTGGGTGGGTTTGAACCACCACCATTTTAGGTTACTAGTTGAGTGCCACTCAGGGATGTTTTGTTGGTTTGCAAGTCCATCCTAAAATGGCACTGGAAGGGAAGGGGAGGCTGCCCCATTCTAAACCAGAAGGTGCACTTCGTGGCTACTTAAACCCAAACCAAAGCAGTTTCTATCTAGTCCACTCTGACTCCTGGTGACTGTATAGGTGTCAGGGTAGAACTGTGCTCCTTAGGGTTTTGGGAAGTAGATTGCCAGGCCTTTCTTCTGAGGCCCCTCTGGGTGGTCTCGAACCTTCAACCTTTCAGTTAGCAGCTGGGCAAGTTAATAGTCTATGGCACCCAGGGACTCCATTGGATTCTAGTTGTTGTTAGCGACTGTCTAGTCAGACCTTGGTTCATGACGACCCCACGCGCAAGGGAACAAAATGCTGCCCGGTCCTGCGCCATCGCCACGATCGCAGATCTGACCCTTGTGATCCATAGGGTTTTCGTTGGCTGATTTTCAGAAGTCAGTGCCAAGGCCCTTTCTTCCTAGTCTGTCTTAGTCTAGAAGCTGCGCTGAAACCTGTTCAGCATCACAGCAACACATTGATAGACGGGTGGTGGCTGCACATGAAGTGCATTGGCCAGGAATCGAACCCAGGTCTCCCACACGGGAGGCGAGAATTCTACCACTGAACCACAACTCTCGCTAGGATTTTAACCCCACTCGAACCCTTGACAATGACCCAGTGCCTTGGGCTCAGCAATAGACAATGCGATTTAAATATTTTAGTTCCGTTTGTGTATTTTCTCTCTATGGCGGATATTAAGGCTAGTGTTGCAGTTTCCAGGGGGAGATAAAATGTCCTGTTAAAATGAGCATGCTCCAGAAAAAGAAGGGAAGCAATGTTTAGAAAAGCAGCGGCGTGTGTATCGGAGCCGTAGGAAATTGTCGCTATTTAATCAGTTTTTACCCCTCAAAGGGCAGTTTCCTGTAGTTAACCAAACGGAAACATTTCCATGGCCAAGGAGCTAACGCCGCTCATGTTTAACCGTAATTGGAAACCCTCCATGAGGTGACTGACCCAGCGGCCGCAGCAGTGGGTTCAAACACACCCGGGATCGGGAAGGTGATAACGTTTCGGCTGTGCTGCCTGGAGTCGCCGTGAGTCAGAGCCGATTCAGTGGCAACTTGCGGTGGCAACTGTTGTTATGAATCCAGCGGTTCTCAACGGGAGGCAATTCTGTCTCCCCACTTGGCAATATCTAGGGACATTTGTGGTTCTCATGGCTAGGGGAGGGCAGGGATGCTGCTCAACACCCTACAGCGCACAGGATGGCCCCACCCCAGAGAAGGATCCGGCCCCAAATACCTGTGTGTCAGGGTGAGAAACCCTGAAGTTCTGTTCTCACCCCCCGTCTCTTACAAGCGTTGGTTCAAGCGGACACGTTGGGCTCTGGAGCTGGAGGGACGTGGGTTCGAATCCCACCTCTTTCCCACACCAGCTGTGTGACCACAGGGAAGCCACACCTCTTTCCTGAGCCTATTTGCTCGTCTGGAAAACTGATGAAAATAGCCCCTGCCTCAAGGATTGTGGATCCAGTGAGCCCTCGTGTCTGAAATCACATGTAGGTACTCAGTAAATGTAAGCACTCCCGGAAGGCGGAGGGGTGGGGGCCACAAAGTGGGAGGGGAGGAGTGTCCCGGAGCACAGGCCAGCCTGGCTGGGTCCAGGGAACCCTCAGCTGCCGGGGCTGCAGGGGGAGGGGGTGTTTTGAATTGGGCCAGAGGCATCTGTAGGAACCCAGGGCTCTTTGACCTCCGAGATGCCCTGGTCTGGCCGATGCTGAGGGCACAGGGGAGCCATGGAGGGCTCCAGAGGGAGAGTGTGCCAAATAGTCTAAGGAAGAGCAGCCCTGCTTGTATCAGGCTCTGCTACCCTGCCAGGTCCTTCCGCTGTCATACTTCAGCTCCTTTGCTTGGCCAGGCCATGGGGACAATAAGTGGCAATCCCCATTCATCCAGGACCAAGGGCAGATGTAGCATGGGCTGTGGCTCAGTGTCTGAGCTTCAGGTTCAAATCCCACACTACCAACTTCTTGATGTGTGACCTTCAGCAGGGGCTGAACTTCTCTGTGCTTTGACTACTGTTGCTCCCTTCCTTGGGGTGCTTGGGAAGATTAACTGAAATCCACATCGAGCACTGAGCCCAGAGCCTGGCCTGCCATGGACACCTTAGCTGTTATTTCAGTTATCCTGTACTAGTTACCAAGGAGTCCTGGTGGCAAAGTGGGTAATCGCTCAGCTGCTAACTGAAAGGTCCGTGATTCGAACCTACCAGCAGGTCCATGGAAGAAAGCTGTGGCAATCTGCTTCTGTAAAGATTACAAAAACCAAAACCCACAGCGGTGGAGTCGATTTATGATTTCAACTCGTAGCTACCCCATAGGATTTCCAAGGCTGTAAATGTCTGCAGTGAAAACCTTATGAATAGCAGCAGAACATTATCTGATACAGTGCCGGAAGATGAGCCCCTCAGGTTGGAAGGCACTCAAAAGATGACTGGGGAAGAGCCGCCTCCTCAAAGTAGAGTCGACCTTAATGACGTGGATGGAGTCAAGCTTTCAGGACCTTCATTTGCTGATGTGGCATGACTCAAAATGAGAATAAACAGCTGCAAACATCCATTAATAATCAGAACGTGGAATGTATAAAGTATGAATCTAGGAAAATTGGAAATGGTCAAAAATGAAATGGAATGCCTAAACATTGATATCCTAGGCATTAGTGAGCTGAAATGGACTGGTATTGGCCATTTTGAATCGGACAATCATATGGTCTACTATGCCGGGAACGACAACTTGAAGAGGAATGGCATTGCATTCATTGTCAAAAAGAACATTTCAAGATCTATCCTGAAGTACAATGCGGTCAGTGATAGGATAATATCCATGCACCTACAAGGAAGACCAGTTAATATGACTATTACTCAAATTTACACAACAACCACTAAGGACAAAGAGTAAGAAACTGAAGATTTTTACCAACTTCTACAGTCTGAAATTGATCAAACATGCAATTAGGATGCATTGATAATTACTGGAGATTGGAATGCGAAAGCTGGAGACAAAGAAGAAGGAATGGTAGTTGGAAAATACGGCCTTCTTGATAGAAACAATGCTGGAGATCGCATGATAGAATTTTGCAAGACCAACATCTTCCTCACTGCAAATACCTTTTTCCACCAACATAAACAGCGACTGTGTAAGTGGACTTCACCAGATGGAATACACAGGAATCAAATCGACTACATCTGTGGAAGGAGACGGTGGAAAAGCTCAATATCATCAGTCAGAACAAGGCCAGGGGCCGACTGCAGAACAGACCATCAGTTGCTCATATGCAAGTTCAGGTTGAAACTGAAGACAATTAGAACAAGTCCACGAGAGCCAAAGTATGACCTTGAGTAAATCCCATCTAAATTTAGAGACCATCTCAAGAAAAGATTTGACACATTGAACACTAATGACCGAAGACCAGAAGAGTTGTGGAAAGACATCAACATCATACATGAAGAAAGCAAGAGGTCATTAAAAAGACAAGAAAGAAAGAAAAGCCCAAAATGGATGTCAGAAGAGACTCTGAAACTTACTCTTGAACGTCGAGTAGCTAAAGCGTAAGGAAGAAATGATGAAGTAAAAGAGCTGAACAGAAGATTTCAAAGGGCGGCTCAGGAAGACAAAGTAAAGTATTATAATGACATGTGCAAAGACCTGGAGTTAGAAAACCAAAAAGGAAGAACGTGCTCTGCATTTCTTAAGCTGAAAGAACTGAAGAAAAAATTCAAGCCTCGAGTTGCAGTACTGAAGGATTCTATGGGGAAAATGTTAAATGACTCAGGAAGCCTCAAAAAAAGATGGAAGGGATACACAGAGTCACGATACCAAAAAGAGTTGGTCAATGTTCAACCATTTCAGGAGGGACCATATGGTCAGGAACCAATGGTACTGAAGGAAGAAGTCCAGGCTGCACTAAAGGCGTTAGCAAAATCAAGCTTCCAGGAATTGACGGAATACCAACTGATACGTTTCAACAAACAGATGCAGCACTGGGAGTGCTCACTCGTCTATGCCAAGAAATTTGGAAGACAGCTACCTGGCCAACCGACTGGAAGAGAACTATATTTATGCCTTTTCCCAAGAAAGATGATCCCACTGAATGGGGAAATTATCGAACAATATCATTCATATCACATGCAAATAAAATTTTGCTGAAGATCATTCAAAAGCAGCTGCAGCAGTACATCAACAGGGAGCTGCCAGAAATTCAAGCCGGATTCAGAAGTGGACGTGGAACCAGGGATATCATTGCTTATGTCAGATGGATCCTGGCTGAAAGCAGAGAATACCAGAAAGATGTTTACCTATGTTTTATTAACTATGCAAAGGCATTTGACTGTGTGGATCATAAGAGATTATGGATAACATTGCGAAGAATGGGAATTCCAGAACACTTAATTGTGCTAATGAGGACCTGTACATAGAT